TTAAGTAAGACCCAAGAAGAAATGAAGAGCGATATAGCTGCAATAAAAAGCAACATTGAAAGTATCAAGAGTAGAATAGGAGAAGCGGAAGACCAAATTAGTGAATTAGAAGACAAGGAAGCAAAACACACCCAAAATGTACTGCAATTGGAGAAAAAAATTAAAAGACAGGAGGAGAGTCTAAGGGAGCTTTGGGACAACATGAAATGAAACAACATACAAATAATAGTGTTCCAGAACAACAGAAAGAGGAACAAGGATTAGAAAACCTATTCGAAGAAATAATATCAGAAAACTTCCCTGAGGTGGGGAAGAAAAAAATCACACAAGCCCAGAGAGTCCCAAGCAAGGTGAACCCGAGAAGACCCACACCAAGACACATCATAATTACCATGGCAAATGTTCAGGACAAAGAGAGAATCTTACAGGCTGCAAGAGAGAGACGGAAAGTTACATACAAGGGATCTCCCATTAGATTATCAAATGATTTCTCAACAGAAACACATCAGGCCAGAAAAGAATGGACAGAAATTTACAAAGTGATGCAAAGCAAAGGACTGAATCCAAGAATACTCTATCCAGCAAGGCTATCATTCAAAATTGAAGGGGAAATAAGAAGCTTCACAGACAAAAAAAAAAAAAAAAAGGCTAAGGGAGTTTATCACCACCAAGCCAGCAATGCAAGAAATGCTAAAGGGACTGGTGTAAAAAGAAGAAATAAAAAGCTCAGAAAGAAAACAGGCACACACACAACAAAATGGCTACAAACAAGTACCTTTCAATAATAAATTTAAATGTAAACGGGCTAAATGCTCCAACCAAAAGACATCGAGTGGCTGAATGGATAAAAAATCATGACCCATACATTTGCTGTCTACAAGAGACCCACCTCATTAGAAGGGACTCACACAGACTGAAAGTGAAGGGATGGAAAAATATTTTTCAGGCAAATGGAAATGAAAAGAAAGCTGGGGTAGCAATACTTATATCTAACAAAATAGACCTCAAAGTGAGGGCCATAACAAGAGATACGGAAGGCCACTTCATAATACTAAAGGGATCAATACAACAAGAAGATATAACCCTGATAAACATATATGCACCCAATGCAGGAGCACCCAAATACATAAAAAAACTCCTGGAAGATATCAAAGGAGAGATCAACAACAATACAATCATAGTAGGGGACTTTAATACACCACTGACATCACTGAACAAATCCTCTAGACAAAAAATCAGCAAAGAAACAACAATCCTAAATGACTCACTAGATCAGATAGACTTAATAGACATCTTCAGAACACTTCACCCCACAGCCATGGAATATACACTCTACTCAAGAGCTCATAGGACAGATTCAAAAATAGACCACATATTGGGTCACAAACAAAGTCTCCCCAAATTCAAGAAAATTGAAATCATACCAAGTACCTTCTCAGAACACGATGGCATAATATTAGAAATAAACTACAATAAAAACAACCCAAAATACTCAAATACTTGGAAGCTGAATAGTATGTTATTAAATATTGATTGGGTTAACAATGAGATCAAAGAAGAAATTAAAAACATCCTGGGAACTAATGACAATGAAAACACAACAATCCAAAACCTATGGGACACAATGAAAGCAATCCTGAGAGGGAAGTTTATAGCTCTACAGGCCTATCTCAAAAAACAAGAAAAAATGGTAGTAAATCATCTAACTCTACAACTCAAAGAATTAGAAAGAGAGCAACAAAAAAACCCCAGAGTGAGCAGAAGGAAGGAGATAATAAAGATTAGAGCAGAAACAAATGACATAGAGACCAAAAAAATAATACAGAAGATCAATGAAACCAAGAGCTGGTTCTTTGAAAGGATAAACAAGATTGACAAACCTCTAGCCAGGCTCACCAAGAAGCAAAGAGAGAGGACCCAAATAAACAAAATCAGAAACGATAGGGGCGAAATAACAACAGACCCAACAGAAATACAAATGATTGTTAAAAAATACTATGGACAGCTCTACTCCAACAAACTAGACAACCTGGAGGAAATGGACAAATTCCTAGAAAAATACAACATTCCAAAACTCAATCAGGAAGAATCTAAAAATCTCAATAGGCCAATAACTATGGAAGAAATTGAAGCACTCATCAAAAAACTTCCAGCAAACAAAAGCCCAGGACCAGACGGCTTCACAGGGGAATTTTACCAAACATTCAAGGAAGAACTAAAACCTATCCTCCTCAGACTACTACAAAAAATTCAGGAGGAAGGAACACTTCCAAGCTCATTCTATGAAGCCAGCATCACCCTAATACCAAAACCAGGTAAAGACAACACAATGAAAGAGAATTATAGGCCAATATCCCTCATGAACATAGATGCCAAAATCCTCAACAAAATCTTAGCAAATCGGATCCAGCAGTACATCAGAAAGATCATACACCATGACCAAGTAGGTTTTATCCCAGGGATGCAAGGATGGTACAATATTCGCAAATCAATAAATGTGATACATCACATAAACAAATTGAAAGAAAAAAACCACATGGTCATATCAATTGATGCAGAAAAAGCATTTGACAAAATCCAACACCCATTTTTGATAAAAACTCTCAGCTAGGTTGGAGTAGAAGGATCATACCTCAACATAATAAAAGCCATATGTGACAGGCCCACAGCCAACATCATACTCAATGGAGAAAAACTAACACCATTTCCCCTAAGAACAGGAACAAGACAGGGATGCCCGCTCTCACCACTCCTGTTCAACATAGTACTGGAAGTATTAACCATTGCAATTAGACAAGAAGAAGAAATAAAAGGCATCCAAATTGGAAAAGAAAAAGTAAAACTGTCCTTATTTGCAGACGACATGATATTATACTTAGAAAACCCTAGAGACTCCATCAAAAAGCTACTAGACTTAATACATGAATTTGGCAATGTAGCAGGATACAAAATTAACCCCAAGAAATCTGAGGCACTTCTATACACCAATAGTGAACTTTCAGAAAGAGAGATTACAAAAAAAATCCCATTTACCATCACACCAAAAAAATTAAGCTACCTAGGAATAAACTTAACTAAAGAAGTAAAAGACCTCTACTCAGAAAAATACAGGACATTGAAAAAAGAGATAGAGGAAGACATAAACAGATGGAAGAACATACCGTGTTCATGGATTGGTAGGATCAACATCATCAAAATGTTGATACTACCCAAAACAATCTATAAATTCAACACACTACCCATTAAAACACCAATGGCATACTTCACAAATCTAGAACGAACTCTCCAAAAATTCATCTGGAATAAAAAAAGACCTCGAATAGCTGCAGCAATCCTGAGAAAGAACAAAGTAGGTGGGATCTCAATACCAGATATCAAGCTGTATTACAAAGCCACTGTTCTCACAACTGCCTGGTACTGGCACAAGAACAGACTATATATATATATATATATATATATATATATATATATATATATATATATCTCAATGGAATAAAATAGAGAGCCCAGAAATCTGCCCGAACCAATATGCTCAATTAATATTTGACAAAGGAGGCAAGAGCATACAATGGAGTCAAGATAGTCTCTTCAATAAATGGTGTTGGGAAAATTGGATGGATACATGCAAGAAAATGAAACTAGGCCACCAACTTACACCATACACAAAAATAAACTCAAAATGGATAAAGGACTTAAATGTACGACAGGAAACCATAAAAATTCTAGAAGAATCCAAAGGCAACAAAATCTCAGACATATGCCGAAGCAATTTCTTCACTGATACAGCTCCTAGGGCACTTGAAACTAAAGAGAAAATGAACAAATGGGACTACTTCAAAATAAAAAGCTTCTGCACAGCAAAAGAAACCATCAACAAAACAACGAGAAAACCCACTGTGTGGGAAAACATATTTGCCAATGTCATATCTGACAAGGGCCTAATCTCCAACATTTATAGGGAACTCATACAACTTAACAAAAGGAAGATAAACAATCCAATCAAAAAATGGGTAAAGGAACTAAATAGACACCTTTCAAAAGAGGACATTCAGAAAGCCAAGAGACATATGAAAACATGCTCAAAGTCACTAATCATCCGAGAAATGCAAATCAAAACAACAATGAGGTACCATCTCACACCTGTCAGAATGGCTACCATCAATAAATCAACAAACGACAAGTGCTGGAGAGGGTGTGGAGAAAAAGGAACACTTGTGCACTGCTGGTGGGAATGCAGACTGGTGCAGCCACTATGGAAGACAGTATGGAGTTTCCTCAAAAAACTACAAATGGAACTCCCATTTGACCCTGTGATCCCACTTCTTGGAATATATCCCAGGAAACCTGAATCACCAATCAGAAAGGATATATGCACCCCTATGTTCATAGCAGCCCAATTCACCATAGCTAAGATGTGGAAACAGCCTAAGTGCCCATCTGTAGATGAATGGATTAGAAAACTGTGGTACATCTACACGATGGAATACTATGCTGCTGTAAAAAAGAAGGAACTCTTACCATTTGCAACGGCATGGATGGAACTGGAGAGCATTATGCTAAGTGAAATAAGCCAGTCAATGAAGGAAAAATACCACATGATCTCACTCATTCATGGATAATAGAGACCATTATAAACTTTTGAACAGTAATAGATACAGAGGCAGAGCTGCCTCGAACAGATGGTCAAAATGCAGTGGGAAGGCCGGGGAAAGTTGGGGGGGCTGTTGGGTGGGGTATAAGAGAGCAACCGAAGGACTTGTATGCATGTATATATGCATAACCAATGGACATGGGACGCTGGGGGGTGGGGGAGGCCAGGGGATAGTCAAGGGCGGGGAGAAAAGAAAAAAAGACACCTATGTAATACCATTTGTAATACTTTAAGCAATAAAAAAAATAAATAAATAAAAATAAAAATAAAACTTTAAGTAAAACTTTTTTTTTTTTTTGTAAAATGTTAAAAATCACCAGTCATCCAAATTTATTAGGACAAACATTTATTTACTTTCTGAAAGAAAAAACTGGTCAAACTAAAACTCTATGAAGTATACAGACTTACATTTTTAATTTTTTTAATCCTCACCCAAGGATACCTTTATTGATTTTAGAGAGAAAAAAAGGGAGGAGGAGAGAAAGAGAGAGAGAGAGAGAGAGAGAGAGAGAGAGAGAGAGAGAGAGAGAGAGAGAAACATCAAACCCTCATAATTTGGGTATGTCCCCTGATGGGAATCAAACCTGCCAACTTTCTGTGTACAGGAGGACACTCCAAGCAACTCAGCTACACTGGCGAGGGGCCAACTTTCATTTTAAAAAAAGAGTTTGATCATGACCCCATGAGAAGCCTTTCTTGCTTTAATTGTGTACGATAATTATTCATTTTTGCTTAAGAAATAATTTGCTAATATTTGTGAATTAAAGCTAAACCATAGGGCTGAGTGAAAAGTCCTTAATAAGTACCCATCTCTTGAGGCCCTAAAATTTATGAAAAGCTCTAATATTTTAGCTATATTAATTTTTGGATATAAAAATATCTACTGCAGGAGTCAACTAAATCATAACATTGAATTTGTTTTAATTGAAAAAGAGCTAAAAATTGCCCATGTTACTGCAACAGTGCAAGATACAAGGTGAGTTTATTTATTAACAACGAAAAATGTAAAACAAATTGTGCAAGCAAAAGTGGGCTACAGAACAAGGGTTTTTGATAGCTTTTACCTTATTTAAACATGTTACACGTTAGTATGCTAGAGTTGATAAATGCTTAGAGTATAAGTTAGAATGTGCTAATTTACTTTTAAACACTCTCCCCAACTCAGAGCACTATAGAAAAGATATATGTATGATAAACACTTCCTCCTTCCTTCAAGTATCACAATCTTGTGGTCACATAATCTTCCTGGATGACAGTGTTAGTGAGGGTTGCATCATAGTCTGTACTAGAGTCCTCTTTCCTTGCATGCTTCTCCTTTGGTATTATTGGAAGAGTGTCTTCTACCACCACCTTCTCTGATATGAAGGCACACATTCTCTTTCCAACTTGTAAACCCAGACTGTCGGTATTCCTTTCCCGGTGGTCTACTAACATGCATTGTTCACTGAGACCAGGGATGCTCAGGTCATCCCTTGAAGATAATCCTGGAGATTCCAGTTGAATATTTCTCTCCAATGATACTTCAGCCTGTTGACGAGCAACCTCTTCTGAAACAGAGAAGATTTGGTTTGCATTTTGCTTAGCAGAATTTTGTTTTGATCTTCTATAAAATAACCCCAAGTGTTTTATATCAGTCACAAAATTCACTTTTCTCTGCTTCTCCTGCAGGCGCTCCTGCACCACCAGCGCAGAACCATTGCTTATGTTGTGTCTTTCTGCAGCAATTGCTGCTGATCGCGGGTGGATCAGGGTGGTTAAGTCGAAAAGGCTGAAGTTCTTCTTGTCTTTGCTGGTACCTTCGTTATCAGTCTTTTCATCTGAGTCTGCTGTGTCCTTCGTAGCCTGAGCGGATTGCAGTGTAGAGAGTTTACTTCCTCTTAGTAACCCCAGGACTTCAAAGCGGAAACTAGAAATGTCTTGCTTTAGTTCCTAAGTGAAATTTAAAATGATGAAATTTGTGACTTAAATAAACATTAGTAAACATCATTTGCTCATTTCATACATGGGGCTGATGTGTTTTCACGCATTTTTAAGAACTAGGATTCCACTCTGCTGTGGTTCTACCTAGAATTTCTAGTTTTCTTCCTGGTACTTGTGTCATTGTGATATCTATTAATTTCCTATTCAAGTTCTGTAATAATGAGGAGACTTCCTAAGGTTTATGTGAAAAGAAACAGGAAGACTTTTATTTTTCACGGTTGCATAGTCAAGTATATTGTTTTTTTGGGGGGGCTACACTTTCAAGTACTTCCTCTGCAAATACCCATCTGCTTTGAAATCACTTCACATTCTCTCAGGGATACATTTTGTAAATATTTTTAACATAGGTATATTTTGCTGTCCAAAGGGACACATATATCAAAAAAAAAGTGAAGCCTGACCTTTCTAGTGTGGGCAGTAACTTTCCATTATTTACTACCTTAAAGTTGATTTTTACCCCAGCATCTCGGTTAGCTACTAAATCTTGCAAATTGCTTAATTCAATCAGATAGCATTTCTGAGATTCATTTTTCTTCTCTTTTTGGACATCTGAATTCTCAGCTCTAATCTAATGGTGGCCTTTAAGGTGGGCCCCTGCCTCCAACCTATCTCCCAAAGTACCAAGGACCATTTAATTCTAAAACTTGGATGTTGTGCCTATAAAGAACATTTTGGATCCTAGCCAACTATCAGTGTGCTTTAAGTTTTGCAATTTATCTATTTTCTTACCTAATTGGCTGGTTATATTTGTTCTCTGTCAAACTTATACTTTTCACTGTTAAAGGTCTCCTGTAGGATGATTTTTATGTGTTAGATTTTGCCTATCAGATCTTATTGACTTTAATCATTCCTCCAAAATATCAAAAAACTCAGGCAGAATAACAGAGGTATTTTACACACATTATATATTTATATTTATTCATATATTTCATGTATTCTACCTATCTCCTCTGGTTACAATAAAAATAAAACTCAGGGAGAAACACTAAGTTTATAAGTTACAATTAAGTGCAAAATTTTCTTCTATCAAAGCTGTGCAGAACACAAAGATTTTGTTTTTAGCATGTTGGTTACTAAACATTTCAGGATTAGAAATCAGCCTGAAATTTCAAAAACTAAAGCTCACTCAGTAGGATAGGCAGTCAGAATGCCAGGATGGCTTCAATAAGTCATCTCGACATTTCAGAGTAAGTATGTTTGAAAACAATGCATTTTGAGAAGAAATGCCATCACTCTTTTGGATAATACAATAGTGCTTTAATTTAGAAGACACAAAATCTAGCTGAAACACACAGTTGTGTTTCCAGTTCTGATTTTCAATGCGCTATGTTAGGTTCCATGCTCTGCAGAATCTGACTCTTGGTGATTTCATCATTAAAATAAAAATAGGTACCTTAAAGTTCTCTTCAGTCAGGCCTTCTTCAGTTTTGGCATCTCTAATCATTGCAGCAACATATCGCTTCACCAGGTTCCTCATAACTTCCTGAGGTATTTAAAAATAACACAATTGATATTCAGTGCATATATATGATTTCTTTCTTTGGTTAGTTCTGAAGATGGGACTGTATTTTAATGTCCAAAATTTCAAGATATAATAATGATTAACTTACTTGATACTGGTGATGTCTTCTCAAATTATCAGCAGCTCGCCTCTGAAAAAGAAAAGGATGTTTACCATTCTATAAAATAATTAATTTGTTCTTTTAATGAAGAATATTTTTTTTCATTTTTTCAGAGGGAGACTTTAATTAGACAGTGGACAAGTGCCAGAGAGTGCTTCACATGAATCAAAAGAATGAGTGAACCAAAAGAGCAAAGTGCAAGGTTATAATCTGTATGGCATTTGATATACAAAATAAGTTTAAAATAATATAAATATTGCTTTTCTAATATAAAGGGATAGGGAAATCAGTAATTATAGTTGATACACACCTTAAATCACTTGAAATGATTTTAAGAGAAACAGATGAACCATATCAAATTGAAAAATAGAAAAAATGTCAAATAAAAATTTAATAGAATAATAGCTATTATTATAATAATATAAAGTTCTTCATAAATATCACATAGCAAGATTAAGTATTTAACCATGATATCTAACATGTAATCAGAAGCATTGCTACACAATAAATAATTTCAATCAGATGAACATTAAGAGGGAATTGCTGTTTCAATTATGCTGTTGGATTTAACCAAAATATGGTTTAATTATATGTTTAGATTTAACCAAAATAAATAAATAACAGATTCTGTTAAAACATAGGGTTACTTACTTTATACTTATTTTTTACATAAATATGACTACAGATATCATTTTGAAGAGAGAAGAATAGTTTGGAAGCAAAACGAAGGTTAACACAAAACAGTGATTCTAGAGTGCAGAATGGAGAGAGATGTTTAACGATTAAAAATAGTCCATTAAAAATTGAGTTAAATAATAAATTATACTAAAATTATGCATTTGCAGATGCACAACTAATCTAAAGATACTAGGAAAAAAAGCTATCAAAATTTCTATTTTATATTTGTTAAATAAATATCATAAAGCAGAAAACTGTCCAAAATAATTTACTTATATAAAAACCCTGGGTGGTGTTCATCATGACCAGAACTGCGAGACCAAGGGGAAGGAAGTCAGACCTGCAGGGGTTGTCTTGGCAACGGCTGCGCCCTCCCCAGAGCTGTTTCCTGTAAGGGCGGGGTTTGAGGCAGGAACCCACCCTGGTAGCGTGGAGGCATATATCTTTATAAAGTGTGCCACATCAGCACAACCAAGGGTGAACCTGAGTGGGGGTGGCTGAAAGGCTTAGAAAAGACAGACAAGAGAATGAAAGCCGAGTCTCAGTGGGACGCTGCTTCTCTGAGAGACAGTGACCATGCCCACAGCCATGCCTTTATTTTATAGCAGATGCTACGAGGCAAAGGCTGTGACCAGGATGTTTACAACATTCTCCTAGGTTTCAATCCTACACAACTACATGCACCTGAACTCTATCAAGCCTACATCACTCAGGCACATGGGGCCACGTGTTGGACCATAGGTTCAAGCTTACAACTACAGCTGTTGGCTATAATTGTGCTGGGAGGGCCCTGCCCTCCAAGCTGGGACTTGCACGTGGCAATGAGAGGACTGTGCCCTCTCCTCAGTCCAAGGCTTGAACCTGTCCAAAACACTGTAGTGGCTCCCCACAATAAAGTTTTAATTCTGTTTCTTTGTTACTAATGTTGTGGTCCCACCCCATAACAAAGAAACAATTTCCAGAGGATGAGGCCCAGGAATCAGGATTTTAAAGATTCCCAGGTGATTCTGATGTGCAGCCAAGGTTGAGAACCACTGCTATAGATAATATTAAAAAAAAAAAATATATATATATATATATATATATATATATATATATATATATATATATAAACATGCAATTCTTTGTCCAAAAAATGAGCATGTTCAAAAATTAAATGAAAATTTGGATATACTCGATGGAGATTTTCACACATATTTGAGTAATGATTCCATTGATTCCACAGATGCTGCTGAAAGGAAAATATTCCCATCGAATTTCTTAACAGTATTACCCCTTCGGGAATGCCGTGTCATAAATTAAAATTGAAAGTGGGTGCAATCATCATCCTATTGAGAAATCTCAATAATAAATGGGGTCTTTGTAATGGTACCAGACTTATTATCAAAAGATTACGACCTAACATTATCGAAGCTGAAGTATTAACAGGGTCTGCAGAGGGAGAGGCTGTTCTGATTCCAAGAATTAATTTGTCCCCATCTGACACTGGCCTCGAATTTAAATTGATTTGACGATGGTTACCTGTGATGTCAGCCTTTGTGATGACTATTAATAAATCACATGGACAAACTCTAGAAAAAATAGGCATATTCCTACCTGAACCCGTCTTTGCACATGGTCAGTTATATGTTGCTTTCTCTCGAGTTTGAAGAGCATGTGATGTTACAGTTAAAGTTATAAGTACTTCATCGCAAGGGAAATTAATCAAGCACTCTGAAAGTGTTTTCACTCTTAATGTGGTGTACAGGGAGATATTAGAAAAAGTTTAATCACTTTATCAGTCATTGTTTGCATCACTGTTGTTTTCATATCATGTTTTTGTTGTTTTCATATCATGTTTTTGAATTTTTTATATCATGCCTCTGTTGTTATATCTTTTTGTTACTGTTTATTTATTAATAAATTTATATATGATTTCATATACATTTTACTAATTTCCTTTCATCTCTCACACTTCTATTATAGAGAAAGGGCAAATAGCAATATTAAAATATCTCTGCTAATTAATTCCCTTTTTAAAAAATATATTTTATTGATATTTTACAGAGAGGAAGGGAGAGGGATAGAGAGTTAGAAACATCGATGAGAGAGAAACATCGATCAGCTGCACTGATGTGCCTGCAACCAAGGTACATGCTCTTGACTGGAATCGAACCTGGAACCCTTGAGTCCACAGACCAATGCTCTATCCAATGAGCAAAATGAGTTAAGGCAATTAATTCCCTTTTAATGTGCATGAATTTCGTGCACCAGCCTACTAGTCTAAAATAAAATTATTTCTGAAATAAAGGAATGAACTTAGTAAATTGTGAGAGAAAAAGAAATAACATATCTTAGGTTTTTTTTTTAATTTATTGTCTAAAATTTGACATATATCTCTTTTTCCCCTGATTGACCTACCCCCCGATTGACCTACCCCCTGACCCCACAGTCATTCCCACACTGGGCAAGCCCCCACTGCCCCAGTGTCTGTGTCTATTATCTAATATGCATCCATAGAAGACTTTTGGTTGCTCTCTACCCCTCCTCCCCCACCTCCCCTGCCATTTGTCTCTGGATCTATTTTTGTTCATCAAATTATATTGATCATTATATCCCACATATGAGTGAGATCATGTGATATTTATCTTTCTCCAACTGGCTTATTTTGCTTAGCATAATGCTCTCTAGTTCCATCCATACTATTGCAAATGGTAAAAGTTCCTTCTTTTTTATAGCAGTGTAGTATTTCATTCTGTAGATGTACCACAGTTTTTTAATCCACTTAACTGGTGATGACCACTTAGGTTGTTTGCAAATCATAGCTATGGTAAATTGTGCTTCTATGAACATAGGGGTGCATATATCCTTTCTGATTTGTGTTTCTGGTTTCTTGGGATATAGTCCTAGAAGTGGGATTACTGGGTCAAATGGGAGTTCCATTTTTAACTTTTTGAGGAAACTCCATACCGTCTTCCATAGTGGCTGCACCAGTCTGCATTCCCACCAGCAGTGCAGGAAGGTTCCTTTTTCTCCACATCCTCACCAGCACTTGTTGTTTGTTGATTTGTTGATGATAGCCATTCTGACAAGTGTGAGATGGTATCTCAATTTTGTTTTGATTTGCATCTCTCAGATGATTAGTGACTTTGAGCATGTTTTCATATGTCTCTCGGCCTTCTGTATGTCCTCTTTCAAAAAGTGTCTATTTAGGTCCTTTGCCCATTTTTTTTTATTGGATCAGTTATCTTCCTTTTAAGTTGTACGAGTTCTCTGTAAATTTTGGAGATAAACTCTTATCAGAAATAGCATTTGCAAATATGTTCTCCCATGCAGTGGGATTTCTTGTTGTTTTGTTGATGGTTTCTTTTGCTGTGCAGAAGCTTTTTATTTTGATGTAGTCCCATTTGTTTGTTTATTTTCTCCTTAATCTTCATTGCCCTAAGAACTGTGTTGGTAAAGATACTGCTTTGACATATGTCTGCTATTTTGCTGCCTATGGAGTCTTGTTGGATTTTTATGGTTTCCCATCTTACACTTAGGTACTTTAGTCATTTTGAGGTTTTTTTTGTGTGTGTATGGTATAGGTTGGTGATCTAGTTTCCTTTTTTTATTTTCATGTATCTGACCAATTTTCTCAGCTCCATTTATTGAAGAGACTGTCTTTACTTCATTGTATGCTCTTTCCTCCTTTGTTAAATATTAATTGAGCATAATGGCTTGGGTTGATTTCTGGGTTCTCTGTTCTGTTCCATTGGTCTATATGTCTGTTCTTGTGCCAATACCAGGCAGTTTTCAGAACCGTGGCTTGGTAATATAGCTTGATATCTGGTATTGTAATCCCTCCAATTTTGTTCTTCTTTCTCAGGATTGCTGTGGGTATTTGGGGTCTTTTTTTATTCCAGATGATTTTTTGGAGAGTTTGTTCTAGATCTTTGACATATGCTATTGGTATTTTAATGGGGATTGCATGGAATCTGTAGATTGCTTTGGGTAGTATGGACATTTTAATGATGTTGATTCTACTAATCCAGGAACATGGTATGTTCTGCCATTTGTTTATGTCTTCCTATATCTCTTTTTCCAATGTCCTGTATTTTTCTGAGTACATGTCATTTACCTCCTTATTGAAGTTCATTCCTAGGTATCTTAATTTTTTTGATGCAATGATAAATGGGATTGTCTTTTTAGTTTTGGCTTCTGTGAGTTCATTATTGATGTATAAATAGGCCATAGATTTCTGAGTGTTAATTTTGTATCCTGCTACATTGCTGAATTCATTTATTAGGTCTAGTAGTTTTTTGATGGAGTCTTTGGGGTTTTCTATGTATACTATCATGTCATCTGCAAATAAGGACAATTTTACTTCTTCT